GGCCTCCCAGAGTGCTAGGATTACAGGCGTGAGCCACCGCGCCCAGCCTTAAACAATATTTTTACAACCATACTTAAATACTTTGGGATAAGGAGACTCAGAAAGGACTGGTTGTAATCAGTGAGAATCATTGATACAGCATGTGGTTATGTCATTAGTTTTAAGAGCTTCTCTGGTGGTTCTGATGAGCAATCACTGTACGGGATCATATACAAACTCACGTGGAAATTCTGCTTCAGTGAATTCAAAAGGGAGTCTTGAAATTTGTATTTGTTTAAAGCTCCTCAGCTTGGTTCTAATATGAAGACTGGTTTGGGAATCACTGCAGTAAACGTTCTATCATTTATAAGCCTGAAATCCTAGTCTCCAAAAAGGTGAATTAACCTTTTAAGGAGAACATTTTAATACTTAATAGACTCAGAACCAACCTTACCCTATATTTCTAGAATGTGAAAATTTGGTAAAATTATGCATTTTATATATGTTGCTGGTATAACGTATGGGGGAAAATTCAAATTGAAAATATCTTCTCTGAATGTTGCATTATGTAATTTTTGATGCACATATATTTAAATATTCCCTTTTCCTTTTCAGAAAGCTGTATGTGATGGCTTCTGTGTTTGTCTGTCTGCTCCTTTCGGGATTGGCTGTGTTTTTCCTTTTCCCTCGCTCTATCGACGTGAAATACATTGGCGTAAAATCAGCATATGTCAGTTATGATGTTCAAAAGCGTATGATATATTTAAATATCACAGTAAGTACAAATTTATATGAAAAATATTTGGCTTCATCCCTTTATCTTGTTAATAAGCAGTACCTTTGTCTCTGTTGAGAGGATGTTTGTTAAATCTGACACTGCTCAGTTTGCTTTATGTATACCTTTGCTTTATTGACCTTCTCTACCATTTCTGGGTCTGCTAAAAATGGCAATTAATAAATACTGGCAATTCTGTGTATATACAATCATTTAGTACTTTAAGATGTTTTTAGTAGGTACAATAAACTAAACGATTAATTACTGGCAAAGAAAAAAAGTATTACAATTTACTTTTCAACATTTAACTCTGAATAGCTCCTGGCAAGGTATTAACAGTTGATGTGATAGATGTTATAAATGTAACATTTTTATTTCCTTGTATTTTGTGAAATACAATTTTCTGCCATCTTTGACAGACCATTTCTTATTGTATTTAAAAATAAAGTACAAGTGACTGATTTCTCTGTTGTAAATTAGTATGTGTAAAAATGTCCTCTGTTTCTTAAGACAGTGTTTTTTAAAAGGACTGGGTAGCCTCTCCACTCTTGAAACCAAAAAACAAAGAACCCAGAAAAGGTCTTCCACTTCTTTTATATTACTGTGTTAACATTTGTTTGAAAAGAACATGGTTTGCCAACCACTGCATTAGGAAAAAGAAAAATGTGTGTTAGTCATGCCATTAGTAATCATTTATGGCTTCAGGCCTGAGTTGTGTATCTCTGTGACATGATCTGTTTGGAAGAGTGATATTGGCCTTAGTTAGTTTTCCTTGCAGAGTTAGATGATAGGGTTAAGGTTAAAAGAGAGATGTCTGTGGTTATGGATGGGAGGAGGGGGTTTTGGAGGGACAGAAAGATATATTAAAGTAGAATCACTGCCAAACTACAGGAAAAAAAAGAGCTCCCATGGATCCATTTATCTTTATTGCTTACCATCAAAAGTTGCCAATCTAAGAGCTTTAAAAAAAACTATATGGAAAAATATATATGTGAATAAAACATTCGTAACACAATGCTAATTGTAAATTGTTTCATATGACCAGGGAATTATGGTTGGGTATTTTCCCACTTTAAAAGCCCTCTGGAATAAGAACATATTTTCCTTTCTCTACAATGTTTAACACAGTGGCCAGGTTTTTTTGGTCTACCTCCAAAGCCTGTTAGTATCACATACTCTAAATATGCAATAATAAATAATAAAAAGCCACATGACATTATCTTTTAAATACCAGAAAGTATATTTAAATGTAAATATTATATTTTTATTAATTGTATAGGAACTCTCATAGTTTAGGATACTACCACTTAATTACATTGAGAAATACTAAACATTAAATAGAAGTAGGATTATTATTTAGATGAACATTAAGTTTAATTAGGTGATAATAAGAACCTGAGTTTCATGTAAGTTATCTATCAGTATTTTGAAATTATATTGAATTATATTGCTTTTGTTTCTTAAAATAAGCAGTATATACTAGTACTACTTATTCTTTGTTAGTAACATTTATTGTCTTTCTCCTTATGAAAATATTTAATTATCATTAAAGACATTTGAAAACTCCTATAATGTATAAAGGTTTTTATTTCCACTGCCTAAACCAATGTATGTGTATTTGCTAACTAGATATGTATAAATTCATGTATACACATACATTTACAAATGTAATCAAATATTCTCATATGTAATATATGAAGGATACATATACACACATTCATGCTCATATGCACACACGCACACATTTTGCCTGAGATCACACTACGTTTTTCCATATTAAATGGCGACATGTAGTCTGTTACATGACTGTATATAATAAAATTTACTCAACCATTTTTTTTTTTAATTTCAGAATATTACAAGGATACAAATGTTTTGGTTACATGCCTTGCTTTTGTACTTCTTGAGACAAAGTTATAAGTGTGCCCCTCTCCCAGATGGTGTACATTGTACCTGTTAGGTTTGATTTCCCCCATCCCCACCTTCCTCCTCCCACCTGCTTGATTTCCATTGAGTTTTACTTCCATCTGTGCTCATGAGTGCTGTTCAGTTAGTTCCAATTTAATAGTGAGTACATGTGTTTGTTTTTCCATTCTTGTGGTACTTCACTAAGGAGAATGGTCTCTCATTCCACCCAGACTGTTCATTTAATTTAAAGCTGAGTAGAACTCCACAGTGTACACATACCACATTTTGTTAATCCACTCATGAATTGATGGGCACTTGGGATGATTCTACATCTTTGTGATTGTGAATTGTGCTGCAATATACATTCAAGTACGAGTGTCTTTTTGATGAAATGACTTTTTTAAATTTGGGTACACACCCAGCAATGAGATTGCTTGATCAAATGGTAGGTCTACTTTTAGTTCTTTGAGGAATCCGCATACTATTTTCCATAGAGATTGTACTAGTTTGCAGTCCCACCAACGAGGAATAAGTGTTCCTGTCTCTCCGCATCCACGCCAGCATCTATTGTTTTGGGACTTTTTGATAAAAGCCATGCTTACTGAGGTTAGGTGATATCTCGTGGTTTTGATTTGCATTTCTCTGATGATTAGTGACGTTGAGCATTTTTTCATGCATGTATTGGCCGTTAGTCTATCTTCTTTTGAAAAGCTTCTGTTCATGTCCTTTGCCCACTTTTTAATGGTGCCGTTTGATTTTTTCTTGCTGATTTGCTGGAGTTCTTTGTAGATTCTGGTTATTAGCCCTTTATCAGATGTATAACATGGGAATGTTTTCTCCCATTCTGTAGGTTTTCTATTTGCTCTGTTGATTGTTTTTTTTTTTGGCTGTGCAGAAGAAGCTTTTTCATTTAATCAAGTCCCATTTATTTATTTTTGTTGTTGCTATGGTTGCCATTGGGGTCTTCTTCATAAATTCTTTGCCTAGGCAGATAATCTATAAGAGTTTTTCCAACATTTCTCCTAGAATTCTTATAGTTTCATGTCTTAGGTTTAAGTCAGTTATCCATCTTGAATTATTTTTAAGTGGTGAGAGATGTGAATCCTGCTTCAGTCTTCTATATGTGGCTATCCAATTTTCCCAGCACCATGTATTGAATAGGGATTCTTTACCCCAGTGTATATTGTTGTCTGCTTTGTCAAAGATCAGATGGCAATATGTGGATGGTTTTATATCCATGTTCTCTGTTCTGTTCCATTGATCTGTGTCTACTTTTGTGCCAATACCATGATGTTTGGGTTACTATAACCTTGTAGTTATAGCTTGAAGTCTGGTAACATGATACTTCCAAATTTTTTTCTTTTGCTTTAGGTTCCTTTGGCTATTCACGCTCCTTTCAGGTTCCAAACAAAGAATTAGTTTTGCTAGATCTGTGAAAAATGACGTTGGTATTTTGATGAGGATTGCATTGAATCTGTAAATCACTTTAGGTAGTATAGACATTTTAACCATATTAATTCTTCTAATCCATGAGCATATGTTTTTCCATTTGTTTACTTCATCTGCAATTTCCTTCCTCAATGATTCATAGTTTTCATTGGAAAGGTCTTTCATATCCTTGGTTAAATATATTCCCAGGTATTTTATTTTCTTTGTAGCTATTGTGAAAAGTATTGAGTCTTTGATTTGATTCTCAGCTTGACTGTTCTTGGTGTATAGAAATTCTACTGAATTGTGCACATTGATTTTGTAACCTGAACCTTTGCTGAATTTGTTGATCAATTCCAAGAGTCTCTTGGTGGAATCTAGGATTTTCTAGATGTAAGATCATATAATCAGCAAAGAGTGACATCGCTTGACCTCCTCTTTCCCCATTTGGATACCCTTAATTTCCTTCTCTTGCCTGATTCCCCTAGCTAGGAATTCCAGCACTATGCTGAATAGAAATGGTGACAGTGAGCATCCTTGTCTTGTTCCAGTTCTAAGTGGAAATGCTTTCAATTTTTCCTCATTCAGTATAATGTTGGGCGTGAGTTTGTCACATAATGGCTTTTATAATTTTGAGATAAGTTCCATCTATGCCTATTTTGTTAAGAGTTCTTATCATAAAAGTATGCTGAATTTTGTCGAATGCTTTTTTTGCAACTGCTGAAATGATCATATTATCTTTTTTTTTTTCTTTTGCTCTGTTTTTGTGGTGACTCACATTTATTGCCTTGTATGTTGAGCCATCCTTGCATCCCCTGGATGGTGCCCACTTGGTCGTGGTGGATTATTATTTTGATGTGATGCTTAATTCGGTTTGGTAGAATTTTGTTGAGAATTTTTCCATCTGTATTCATAAGGGATGTTGGTCTATAGTTTTCTTTTTTTGTTGTGTCCTTTCCTGGCTTTGGTATCTAGGTGACACTGGCTTCATAGAACAAGTTGGGGAGGATTCTTCCCTTCTTGATGTTATGAAATAATTTCTGCAGCATGGGTACCAATTCTTCTCTGTAGATCTGGTAAAATTCGGTTGTAAAACCATCTGATCTGGGACTTTTTTTTTGTTTGAAGGTTTTCTATTCCTGCTTCAATTTCATTACTCATTATTGGTCTGTTCAGGATTTCTATTTCTTCTTGACTGAGCCTTGGGAGGTTATGTGTTTCCAGGAATTTCTCCATTTCCTCAACGTTTTCGAGTTTATGTGCATAGAGATTTTTATAGTATTCACAGATGATATTTTTTATTTCTGTGGTATCAGTTGTAATAACTCCTTTTTCCTTCCTAATCAATCTTATTTGGGTCCTTTCTTTTCTACTTCTAGTTCATCTAGCAAAAGGCATGTCAATTTTATCTTTTCAGAGAACCAACTTTTTTCATTAATTTTCTGTATTGTTTTTTTTGTTTTTGATTTCATTTAGTTCTGCTCTGACTTCAGTTATTTCTCTTCTTCTGCTGGGTTTGGGTTTGGTTTGTTCTTCCTTTTCTCGTTCCTTGAGATGAATCATTAGATTGTTGAGTTGTGATCTTGTGATCTTTCTGTCTTTTCAATGTGGGCATTTAAGGCAATTAATTTTCTCGTTACAGCTGCTTTTGCTGAATGCCATAG